CCGTTGGATTGAGCTGAAATTTTCAGAGGTTGTTCCCAACACTTAGGGCTTCAATCTGTTCAATTTTCACATCAATCGGAGCTACGGATCTTCTGTAATCGCAGCTGGTGCGACGCTGCGTTTTTGGGTGATAATCCTGATTTTCCTTCTCTATTGTTGATGCCTCTTATGTATGTTGTTGTTGGTGGGCTGTGACATCCTTGTAGACTGAGTTTGGGTGTTTTTACCCTCAATTTGCATAATAAGAGAAGAAGAGGGCGGACTCCCTATAAGTCCCGTGGTTTTTATCCTTCACATCGAAGGGGTTTTCCACGTATAAAAATCGTGTGTCGTTTGCATCTTTGTTCTTCATATTTGGTTGTGGTTTATTTGATGTGTTGCTGATTTTATGTGCTTGGTTAATCAATAGTGGTGAATTGGGTTAAGTGTTTGGTTGGTTGTCTTGAAGTTGATCCTTGTAGGTGGTGCATCCTACTTGTTGCTTCTTTCCCAACAAAAAGTTAATAAAAAAAATACAAATTTGATCTTTTTAATTACCACATATTATTTCGATAAACATAGATATGAGATCACCAGATTAATTTGCGATACTCGTAGACATTGTACATAAAAATACGGAATAATAAGTACTACCTCCATCCCGAATTATTTGTTCAATTTTGACTTTTTTCAGTCAATTGCTTTCAATTATTGATTTATAATTAAATAAAATATAAATTTTATATTAATTAAGTAAAATAATATTTTGAAAATAATATATATATATATATATATATATATATATAGGTCGTTAGGCAGAGATCAGAATACACCAATCTTACGCCTCCTCTCTGCCTCTCTATTCTCGTGAGTCGCATCCTCACATTAGCCATCATAACGATACACCCTAAACGGGAACTCAATCTGCGTGAAAATCATGACCTCATCCTTAACTACGTTTACGAGATTATCAGGTACACATGATTTAATTCCTGATTTATATTTTATGTTTAAGAATTGATCAACAGGAACATGTTAGAAAAAATGGGAGTAGGAGAAAAATGAAAGAATTGTGAGAAGTTGGAAATAATTTAAAAGGGTTGAGAAAATAAAAAAATGTTGAAATTATTTCATTTTATAAATTTCATATTTTATTTAAATAATAATACTCTGCTTTTTAAATGATTTTTCTTTTTTATTTTCTTTGATGTCATTATACTTTTTCTCAAATCATACGTACCCTTACTTTCTTTACTTTTTAAAATTAATATTTAATACTACATATCAATTATATAATTTTTTCGTTTCCTGATATGTATGTCACTAATTCATTTGTCAAATATACGGAGACAATTGAAACAATAAAATGGAGTCATATATATTTTAGAATTTAAACAATATTATTTCACACAATTATTTCTTCGCATATACTATATACTTTAGGGCTTTCATTTGATTAAACTAATGTATGAACGTTTATTTTTGTATATGTATAGAAGGTGCATATTATAACTATGCATATTTTTTTTCGCACCAATAGTATGCACATTGTAAAGTTATGCAATGTTTAATGAAGAAAATAGAGTGTTCAATTGTTTTGTTCAAAATTTTAAAACAAAGTTTAATGTCAAAATTTTAAAATATTGACTATGACACATCAAAAAAACACAATTGATAAAACTTTCCAAAACCTTAAACGGAATTATATTATTTAATTTAATATTTTAAAAATTTACGCTAACTATATAATGCTAACTAATATTTATCTTGAGGGTAAATTTATTTAAAAAATTAAGACATTAAGAACATAGGCTGAAAAAAGAGTTAGATATTATAATAACTCGGAAAAATTTGAACAAAAAAAACTTAAAGAAAATTAAAAAAATTGGAAAAAAACTAGAAAAACTTCAGAAAACTTAATTAAGTGTATTTTACATAGTATTCTTATTATTGTTGTTGTTAATATTATTATTATTATTGGTATTATTATTATATTCATAATAGATAGAGAAAATGAGTAATATAATTACTTCATACTATTTTTTATTTAAATTTTTGATATGTTTCCCTAGTCATTTTAGATTAATAATATCGAAAGGGGTCACATGGCATGGAACCTCATGTTATGAGGTGACGCGGGCCGCTATGGTGCACCGTTTGTAAAATTGATGGTTTCTATTTCTTAATCCCCGATAATTTTGCCTCTTCCCGCCCTGACCCGGACACACCCACATGCCTTTCAATTGCACCCCCAAATTTATTTAACTTTGGAGTCAAACTTTTAACCCCAAAATCAAATAAACTTGGGGGTTGCAATTGAATGGGGTGATGAAGTGTTCAGGTTGAAGAGGGGTGAGGGGTTTAACAAATAACGAGGTATGAATCACTAATTTTACGATTGAGACATCGTAGCGGGCCATATCATCCCATTAAATAGGGTTCCAATGTCATGGTAATCACCCTCTAATAATATATCTATAATGGTTGGAAATAGTTTAGTGTCATGTAAATTAAAAAAAAATTCTCATTGACCATATTATTTATATTAAAATGGAAGAAAAATAATAATGAGTGTGAATCATAAAATAGTGACATGGGAAAAATAAAATAAAAAATTGAAATGATTTATAAACTATAATAATAATAATAATAATAATAATAAAAGTAATAATAATATGAAACATATATTATATTTAGAGTCGTTATTTGGGACTAAAAAATTGAAAAAAAGAGTATAGTTGACAAAACTAGAAAAAATTGAAAAAAACTTGAAAAACGGTAAAGAATTAGAATAAATTGGTAGGAGCTGGATGACATTGGAAAAAAATTAGAAAAAACTGGAAAAAAAAACTAGAAGTTAAAAGTTTAAACTTTTATGAATAAGCTCTATATCAATTATTTATTTTTATGTAGATAATAATAATAATAATTATAATAATAATAAATGAAATATATCTAAATAATTTTTTTAAGTCACTATTATTAAAAATTGAAAAAAAATTAAAGGAACCTGAAACTAGAACAAGTTGGAATAACCTAAAAGGAGACAAAATAAAAAAAATTGAGACCCAATTTGGTACATAAAATTCAAACTATACAATTGGAATTGAGGATTTCAATTCTAACTTTAGTGTTTGATAGAGAAAAAAAATTATATGGATTTGAAATTAGGGCTGGACACGGTACCGGTTCGGTACCGTCACCGGAAACGGTATCGCCGGTACCGAGCACCGTAACGCACACCGGAACGGCGAAACAGTTCCGAGAACCGGCACCGGTACCGCCACAACCGGTCTCGGTTCCGGTGCCCGAAATTCGTTACCGGCACCGCCGGTACCGGTACCGGTTAATTTTTTTTTTTCTTTTTTTGCTCCTTTTTGCTCTCCATCTCCAACGTAAACCTGCAATTTAATTCTTAGTCTCTCTTCAGCCTTCTGCTCTGCTTCAAGGATGGCCAGGTGCCTTTTTTTTGTTTGTCCAGCGGTCCAATAAGAAGAGAGAGACCTGAGGGCTGAGGAAGATGAAGCCAAAGAACAGTCTAGCGCCTCCACGATCTGGATCTAGATAATTCTTTGCATTGGGAATTCGGGATAAGGCTTTTTTTTCACAAAATTCAATAAAAAAGCAAAAAAAAAAATTGGGGGTGGCCGGTCTGGTACCGGAACCGCCGGTCCGGGTACCGGAACCGGTACCGGCCGGTCCGGTCACGGTACCGGTACCAAGGGGTGGCGGTACCGGAACCGTACCGTGTCCACCCCTATTTGAAATTGATGGTGCAAAAAATGAATTAGAATTAGTGAATTCAATTCTATGGAATTGAATTCACTGAAATCTTAATTTCAATTAATTTTAATTTCATCAATTTCATATATTCCAAACTGACCTGGAAAGAATTGCTAAAATTGGAATGAAATGAAAAAAAGTTGGAAATTAAAGTTAGAAGTGATCGCATGTTCCATCTCAGTCGTCTCCTCTCTTTTCCAGCGTCCGATCTCTCTCATCCATTCCCTTCCATTGCGCGCCTTCATACAAACCCTCTCCCCCCTTCCCCTAATTTATCAGGTAATCCATTCCACACATAACCTACGGCGTGTACACATACTGATATACGCCTGCAATTCTCTGTAATCCCATCCGTTTTTTCTTCTATTTTCTTCCGTCTATGGCGGATGCAGGGTTCTTCTGCGGGCGCTCATGGCAGACGGTCAGGCGCCGTTTCACTTCCCGGGCAGTCCCGGCGGTGGCAGCCACGATAGCGGGGAGCATAGTCCCGGCCCCAGGTCGAATGTTCGGGAGCAGGATAGGTTTCTCCCCATCGCGAATATCAGCCGGATCATGAAGAAGGCCCTCCCAGCGAACGGGAAAATTGCCAAGGATGCGAAGGATACCGTTCAGGAGTGTGTGTCAGAGTTCATTAGCTTTGTCACCAGCGAGTATGAATTTGCTTCTAAAGCTCTTTTATTTTTTTAAGTGCCTTTTAGTTGAAGATTGTGCTTGTTTGGCAATTCTATTAGCTGCTGCAAATGTGTTGAGGTTTTGTTCTTTGGTGTTTTTCTGCTTATAGTTGCTTCCGTTAGGAGGATGAATTTCTGCAAATCGGCTTATTTGGATTTCTTTTGGGATTATATGTTAATTGTCATTCTCAAATGGTCTAGGGCAAGCGACAAATGCCAAAAGGAGAAAAGAAAGACCATCAATGGTGATGATCTGCTTTGGTCAATGGCTACTTTAGGATTTGAAGATTACATTGAGCCTCTCAAGGTGTATCTTGCTCGATACAGAGAGGTAGTAATATTTGTTTCTGCGTAGGAAATCTGCAATATATGGGGATAGATATTGCTCCAAGACCATAAACAACCATGGATTCTGAACTAATGCACTTTTGTTTTTTGTATGCCTATTTGTTCCTGTTGGGCCAATGGACTTTCCAGATGGAGGTAGGTCAATATTGCTTTGCATTTCAGATCTCAGTTCTTTTTTAAAAACAGAATCTTGAGCACTAAACCACTGCTTTACTTGGTAGGGCGATACAAAGGGATCTGCCAAGGCTGCAGAAGGCTCTAACAGAGGTGCTGCGCAACCTAACCCTAACTTACAGGTTTATCCAAATCTTCATATGCCATTTCACTTCTAAATTTTGTTACTTTATGAATTATCTAGGCTATGTTAAGAATCCCTGAAAATGGTATGGAAAGAAAAAACAAAGGAAAATACGAGGAGTTTTCTGTCTTTGGTTTTCTTTAGGAAAAAACAATGCAAAATTAATTTTGATTCGATCTTTTTTAATAACCGTGTTAGGTCAATTCTAAAACCTTACTCTATATTTTGGGATGGAGGGAGTATGCATATATGATCCCTTCAAATGCAAAGTGGCCGTTTTGTAATATTTTATTTTTTGAAATGGGTAGCTCACTTTGTGTCATGTCACCATCATGTCATCTCACAGGAGTTCATTCCTATACGCACACAGACAAGTTCAAATAAAAAGTGGGCTTCTCATCAAAACTAAGACCAATTGCATCATAAAACCAATTGCACCATTCTCATTTCTCACGTTAAAAGTCATTTTCACCGAAATCACACACTAATAAATAAATAAATATTTGGTTCAAATAAATATTAGGCTTCTCATAAACACTAAAAACTGATTAGGTGTGTCAGATTTAAGATCTAACAAATGTAAGGAAGAGAGAATCTTGGGAAATCTGAATGAAGTGAGGTTGCATTTTGCATCAGAATGCATCAATTTCAGAACATTTATGCTACGATGGAAGTTGCTTTAGAATGGACCAAAGTTGCATCTTGAGTGTGTTAAAGGTGAAGTTCTTGAAAAAACTGATATGGGACAATTAAATTGTTAATAGTCAATTGGGTCGGGAGTCGGGGTTTAGGGTAGAAAGTCAAACCCGATGGTTCGGGTTCAGGCAAAGAAAAATATCTGAAACTAGTTTTGGGTTGGGGTAGGGTATAGGCATATTTGAACTGAACCCGTCTCATTGCTTTCCCTACTTATACGCAATAAAAAAGACGCACCCAGTGAACAAAAAATATAATCTCATAAGGAATAGAAAAAGAGAATGAGAGAGAGATCATGCACCGCAGTCGGTTTCACAATTTTGCCAAGAAAAATGGAGAGACCAATGCCAAGTAGTCTAGGGTTGCTAACGGTTATTCGGTATCAAGTACTGTATATATTTTTAAATTTTCTAATTGAATTGACTAATATAACCTTAATCTTAAACTTTGGGGTAAAATTTACCTGAGGTGTAAGCCTTAGTCCGCCATTGGTGAGAAGACTAGATGGCGTATGACTAAATCGCCATGAGGCAAATCAATCCATAAAAAGACCTGAGGTGTGCCGTGCGCCATGAGGCGGGATTAAACCTCGTCATTTTGAACAGAGGGTCAGACACGTCACACGTATACCATCTGTCCTAGAGTATTCGTCTCAAAACTAGGGTTTGGGTGGGAGTGTCTACGCAGACCTTATCCTTGCTCAAAAGTAGAGATGTTTCAAAGAGACCCCCTATTCGTGCAAACAAACTTTAATCACCAGTTAATAATAATTGCATTGCATATTAAGTTACGGGTTAGGTTAATATATTTTTTGTCCTTGTAAAATAGGCATTTTTTGTCCTTACAAAATATATTTTTATTTGAGTCATCCTCGCAAAAAAATTGCAAATGGTCCCAAAACGTAGTTTGGTATTTTATTTTTAACGTTCCTATCTGTTAATTTTTGTTCCTAATGGCCATTATATTGAAAATGGGTGAGATAAAGAGTTCTCACTTAACGAGGGTTCGCACTAGAATTTTCCGCACCCTCTTGCACACATAGGAGATAGAGAAGAGTAAATTAACTAAGTTTTATCCATGCATTTCGCAAGAACTAAAAACAAGTGATTGTTCACACAAAAGCATTAAGGTCCAGTTCTCTTCAACTTGTTTTTTTCTACTTTTTCTCATTGAAATCAATCAGATCAGACCTTAAAAAAATCATTTTAGAACCAATCATATCAGGCGAATAGAACAAAGCCTAAAACATGCCATTTTAGATCCAAGTATGATAATGAAGCCATACTATAGGGAAAACTTCAAAAAATTGTGGTGGCAATGTTGTGAATAAACCCAAGGTTTCTTCCCTGTGAAAGCTTTATCAGGAAAATTAGTTCATAGTTTTCACAAGTGGTGTTTTTACTGCAACCTGCATATGTTCATAGTTTTCTGCCCCATCTGTTTTTTTCTTCTCATCTGGTTTTCATTTCCTTCCAGGGACAACATTTTGTGGTTCCAATGCGAAGCATGGAATAGAGACGGCTTCTCTGGGCTTCGGCATCACTCTTCTTTGCTGCCACAGGTTGTGTTCATCTGATCAGACTTAAGAATACGTTTGGCTAACTCATACCACTAGTGGAAGTTTTAAAGCCCTTCTTGTATCAGAAACTCTCAATTATTTGTTATTGCTCAGTAAATGTATTAGTGCGCAAACACATCGTTTTTGTGACAAACCGTCGTTTGTTTTGGTCATGTTGTCAAAACAAGTAATCATGTAACCTAATCAAATCATTCTTTTGAGATTGAAATGTTTAAAATTACACTGAATCTCTTTAATTCGTGGCATGAAAAAGCCAAAAGGGGTTGTGATTGCCAACAAGTTGTGAATTCATATCCCTAATTCAGAAATTGCTAAAGACTATTGTGTGGTGCCATGACAACGGCATGGGTTCGTTTATTTAAAACCAAGTCTTACTTCTCTTCACCTTATTCTTTTTTATTTATTACTTAATTTTATTGAAATCAAATCGAAAATAATTTTAAATATAACTACAATTAGATTATATCAAAACTTAATTGAATAAGATCAAAACTAATTAGATTGAAGAGAACTAGCCCTAATTGTTCAATGGATAAGATACTCAAGCAGGTAAACAAATTTTTTTTAAAAAAAACACTTTTCCCAAAATACAGTTCCTCATTTTAAGTCTAACTTTCCTTTTTGATTTGTTTGGTTGAATGTGTAGTTTTTTGCTGCCAACCTTTCTTTTAGAATATTTTCTTGATTCTATTTGAGGTGAGGGTTGTATTTCATTTCTATTTAAATTGCGTGTTGATGTTTAAGAGGTTTGAACGAAATTATTTTTAGTTCACTTTATTTAAAAGTTGGTGTAGAATTAAAAAATAAATTTTTTATATTTAAAAATTCAATCAGAAGTTTTACAAAACTATAAGTGATATGATTATATTATTTTATCAAATGAATAACGAAAATAAGTAGAGAAAGTGGTTAAAGATTGAGCCTATGAGTATTAAATAGACAACTTAAATTGGAACGGAAGAAGTATAACCCAACATAATTATTAATGGTGTATGTCACGTTCAGTTGGATGAGGAAGAGACAACTCACAAGGTTCCTTTGCGATAGGAATATAACGTTAAACTATAAATGAAAGTTGTGTTGGATAGTGTCAGAGACTTGTAGCAGAGGGATATAGGTAGTCACATAAAGAGTTGGAAGACGGTGTTTAGATATGACCTATGAGGCTATGACTTCATTATCTTAGATTATGATCTTACATAAGAATACTTAAAAATTTAGAATTAGAGTCGTCAGGTATACTTGTGGGCCTTAATTTATAGTTTATGCATATGTGTTTTTATACCTTATTTGTAGTGTGCTTTTGTGTTTTATGTCTATTTCATACACGTAAGGATGTGGGGAGGTTGCTATAATGAACCCTACAAAAATAGATAGGAAAAAGGAGCCCTTTTTGTTAAAAAGAGTAATATAGCAACTTCTCTACGTGTGCTCACACAAAAGTAATGTGAAGCATCTCTTGGGCAGTCTCACTAATCTTACAAAACTCGTCCCCCCCCCCCCCCAATGTGGGTGTGTCGTCCCTCTCATAGGGTGACAATAAAATGTTAAAAAAAAAAAATCTTTGATATGTGACATAACAACAATGCGACAAGAAAAACAATACGGGCCGCGAATTAGTGTAAAAATGACGAGCATTTAATTTCTATACATTGTTAGAAAAGCGTCCTCCTGAACCAGACGATTTCCTCCGCTTGCCTCGCTTCTGTCGAACGCGCCAGAGGCTTAAGAGTAGCAGCACCCCTATAAACAATAATATAAGGTAGACTTAGAAGTGTTTGATTCAATGAACAGAGGAAAGAAACAAATGCCTTTTATTTTATATTTTTTTTAAAAGTCTTCCAACCTACCGATAATTGCAACACCTGCAGGCAAAAACCAATGGGTAGCTAAAGGCACCTGCAAATCTTGCTGCAAACACAAGATCCTTAATCACAGTGTGACAAATATGACTACGAATGTGTTTGGAGGGGAAGGGGGGGGGGTACTTGTGGCATTAACTTTCTCGATGAAAGGGAGTCAAACGGAAGAAAGCATAAGCCTCTAGTTAAACAAAGGACAACAAATAGAAGTACAAATTTCCTGTTTATGTTCGATATGAGAATGAAGAAAATCTTACATCATCTCCATTGGTGTCCTTGGTTCTTGGTGAATAACCACCCTTCTTTTTAGTCATGTTGGACATTTTCATCCAAGAGCTCTCTGGGGTAGAATTTAAATCAGTACCCATATCAATAACTGTGTGCCCTGGCAATATTCGGTTTCTTCCTCTAACATGTAAATTGTAACCCTTAGTTCCCCACACTTCAACCCTAGAGTCATGCCCACAAATCAATTCCTTTCCAACAACAGCAGAATAGGTAGAGAAATTCACATCTGTTCGTCTGGAGGGTAATTGCTTCTCGTCTATATATAATGGTTTATCTAGTCTTACAGAGTCAGAGAAAAGTATGGGATCTTTAACACCCCTGCCGGCAAAGTCTAGTATTTTCTTCAAAAGCCCATAACAATTGGTAACCATATGACTGCTATCTAAACAGTTTGAGTCCCCATATGCTGCAATACGGCCCTTACCAGCCTCCACAAGACCGAGAATTGGAGTGTCTGCCTGCATCAATTTAACCATATCGCAAAGTTATGTTAGGAACTGCAACTAAAGCCATCCACAGTCCATAAAAAGGTACTCCATATTTTTTTTCAGGAGCATTGATTATGCATTTAAGGGCATTTTAGGTATGAAGAAGATGTTGTTCATGTCCCATGATTTGTAGGTTGGTTCTATATTATCAATTTTGTGATGGGCATTGCAATCGAGGATATCTCAACACATCGCCGTCTCAGGATATAATCGATGTGTGGAAAAATAGCCTATGCTGGTGATGGTTTAGAATTTTCATATCATTAATCTTTCTTATGAAGATCGTAACATGAAGGCCTTTCAGCATAAAACAGTGCCGCTGTGATTTTTACAAGTTTACATGAATTTATAGAGTTAATGGGTACTATAAAGCCACCAACCCCAACTAGTTTGAATTAAGGTGCAATTAAGGGTGAATTATGATGAAGATGATGAAACAAAAAATGTGGATGCATTTATTGAAAGGGATAATTTTTGTTGCACATCCAATATACTAATGATGAATTGATGAGATTGTTAATGGGAAAGAGGGAGTAGAGTTTATTTGTCTCTCACAAAAATCAGGGAATGTATTGAAAATAATATGGATGTGGAGCACAAAATAGTACTCCGTATTCTGTAGTAGTATAATGAAAAGAAATCAGGGAGGGGGGCACAAATAAGAACAGCTTTTTATCTCACCTTGGTCGTGCCAGATAACAGAACGTTCTGAGTTGCCCCACTCTCTGAACTATCGAGGAAAGGGAAGCTGTGTAGATATCCACCTCTAGGAAACTTGACAATGTCAGTTCCAGATGCATATCGACTCTGCTCACCATCAATGACAAAATCACCATTAAGAATTTTATCTCCAAATGCAATCCCAAATGGAGCCAAAAGATCATTCAAGGCAGGCACATTCGCACCTCCAGTTATAGGAGTCCACCAACTCCGTGTGTTATCATCAAAGAATCTCATCTTCACCATTGTGTCCACATTATACCAATCAGCAAATACAACCACACTTAATCCAGTGTTGATGACATCATCCCTGAGCTTCTTGATCTCTTCACCAAAGTACTCATCCTCAAGATCCACAAGGAGAAGAGTCCCGTAGTGTCGTGCATCAAAGCATGTAAGAGGGGATCCAAGTGTTTCAACATAATACCCCCCATCCCTTAGCATGTCAAACATAATATGGAAGTTTGTATGAAGATGATCTCCATGCCAGTCAAGGATGTCGTTCCTAACATCCAAAGAGTCTCTTGGTATATAGCCAGGAGGGTACTTTATACTATGAAACTGATCCCATAAAACCCGAGCTTCTCTTGGTGGGGTAGGAACCACTTTCACTTTTAACATAAGGATACATGTAGTACTTCGGCGAGATTTTTCCCCTGGAGCAGGAGGGCTATATACCTTAACAGTAACATTTCCTTCAATATCCCCCGAAAATTTAGCCCCCTCTTCCTTAATTTGCATGTGAAGCGCCAGATAACCCGTCCATGGCCAAATAACACCAGAATAGGTGAAATGTATACTAAGAAGATTGCCCTCCTCATTCGAGGGATTCCATGTCGGTGGGCTTTCAACATAACCAAGAACACCCATTCCATTTAAAATAGTAGCATTAAAAATAACTGGCATGGCACCAGCATAGAGTGGTTGGAAGCAAAATGGCCAAGAATAAGGACAATCTCTGTAATCAAGAACACTGGGAAAGATGCTTGCTCGAGGTTCATAGTTTTTTAGAATCTCATAAGACTCCAATCTGCCATCATTTTTCAAGTTAACATATATAATGCAATCATCAGTAGGACAACAAAATGCAAGAAGTGCCTTCAAGATGCACGAGAAATTTAAGAACTCACAAATTGACCCTGCCTGCACCCTGCTCGTACATGTTAGGGCCGAGAAGCTTTGCAGCTCCCTCAACCAGAGACTGTTTCACACTCGCTGGATTTAACATGTTCTTCCGCTTGCTTTCAGGAATGACACTGACAAGAAGGCATACAATTCCAGCCACCACAGGACTCGCAACACTAGTACCAGACAAGCTTTTGCAACCTGTGCTGATCTTGGATCCCATAATATCACGTCCATAAGCAACAATATCAGGTTTCATGCGGCCATAACTGCAAAGCAAACAAAAGTAGTAATAAACCAACCTTATAGCTCACTTTCCTCTTTCATTCACCATAATCATCTCCTTAATGAAAGGGTTTTTTTTAATGCAAAAGTACTGATGAAAGAAACACAAATACCACTTCAAAGTAATTTTTTGGAGTGTTATAACTCATGTAATGTAACTCCAAATATGAAAAAAACATTAAGAGAAAACAGAACATGAATACACTACCCATGAGGAATCTCCCATGTACTCATGCCACGTGATGAGAATGATGCTATATGATCATTGTAATCAATTCCACCAACACCAATAACATCACTTTGATCTGCTGGATTGTTCAGAGTCCCGTAAAGTGGTCCATCATTCCCAATTGCCGAAACCATGATAATATTATTTGCTGTTATCTCCCAAACCTAACAGAGGAAGTACATTGTCTTGTCACTTGGCCATGGATGTAAGTTTTTCATTCTAGCAGTGATAAGAAGATACTAACATTCAAGATCAGGACAACACTCTTTAAACAATTACTAATTCCTTTTAAAATTATTTTCATTATTATCTGACCTGATGAATATTAAGCATAAAAGAAAATGCAGAAATTCTTTATTCATAATAAAAATACAGATATACAAAAAAATGTAGCTAATGAGAAGGCACCCATGATACAGAGCAACTTGCGCTTCACGGATGCCCCCAATACTGGTGTAAAAACTTGTAAGAACTAAGAAAATCCTATTTAAATTAAAAACAATATAACCTTCTCCACAAATGGAAGATCCATATAATCAGGTCCACCTATGCTCAAATTCAACACATCCATGTTGGTTGCAATTGCATAGTTGAATGCGTCAAGAAACCATGAAGTATATGATACCTGCAATAAACTGAGGAGATATTTCTCATATGGTTGCTTAATTACAAATCATAGATAAGGAAAACATTTAACTCATTTCGATCGACAATACAGTGCAGTTGGTTTCAACTTTATTAAGTAGAATTTTTTAAGCATATCTCCATGCCCGAATACAAGGGTTCGTCAATGCCTCTATGCAACAAATAAGTCAGACCTCACACATACAGTTGCATGATTCTCACTGACATAAGATTCCAACACACTTTATTTTTTTGATTATTATGCCAAGATCTATGTCCAACCGAATACTGTCTAGTGTTAGTGTTGACCAACGGTCCTCCAACTTATTACCTCCATGGCTCCTACATATCGACATAGGGCCTCCATTTTTTCATTGCTACTATTTTTCTCCTCTGTTTTCTTCTTATGTTTCATGTTTATCAGCATTTGCACTGAAGTGTGTCCGTTGCCAAAAGAGCTAATAGAGTCATTTTAAAGTGTTTTAGCTTAGGATAAATAACGGACTAAATCAAAATAGCACTTTAAACTTTCTTTGTTTCTTACTTTCTATGAGGTTTTGGACAGTACATGTTGACCAACCCCAAGAGAATTGGAATTATACTGGGCTAGTAGTAGTAATTATTGTTGTTGTAACATTTGCACTGAAAAGGGCATCAAATATGTAAATGTATGGTGATTGGTGATTATGTATGTAGTTTTGATGAATGGAGATGAAGAAAATGGACGAAGCAAAGAATTATGGGAACGAAAGCATGCACAGTTATATAGTTCTACAAGTCTTTTCGAAAGGCGATTTTGCTAGAAACGATGAGTTGTGTCCTTGTGTTAAGGGATGTAAGCTTTGAGCCATGCTTATTCTCAGTGGTTAGTGGTTTTAATTTGTGAAGATTTTAATTTTCCACTAGTGATCAATGCTCAAAAACGTGCATTGCATAGTTGAGGCGGTGTGTCTAGATTGTGTATTGTGTAAGTCTCATATGCCTCAGTTTTTACTTTTAAGCGTGAATTTATACCCCGAGTATGAACTAATTAATACTTCCTCCGTCCCAAAACTAGAGTCCTAGTTTGACTTCAAACAAATTAAGGCAAATTTTAAAGTGGTGATGACTTTCCAAATTTTCCCCTAATGTAACCTTGATGTGATGTGGTTGGAATAAGAGCGAGTGTATAACATGAATGAGAAATAAATGGGGGTGGGTATAAAAAGTGATTGAAAATATAGAAAAGTGATTGAAAAGGTAGGAACATTATAGTATTTTGATGAGTTGGACATGCCAAAAAAGGAAAGTCGACTCTAGTCTTGGGACACCCAGTTCGGAAAGTGTCTCTAGTTTTGCGACAGAGGGAGTAATAAAATTCAAAATTACCTAAAACTATATGGAGTATAATACAACATTTATATCAAAATACAAGAAACTTCACGGTAAATGACTAAAATCCAACAACAATGAGGTCATAACTCATAACACCTTCAAAATAGCAAGTTTTAGAATCACATAGTATCAAATATTGCCTAATCCAAAAAAAAATCATTTGATTTAAGGGTGAAAAATAGGTCACCACTATCTAGTGGTTTAAAATTTGGATCCAAATTGTCATCATCTTCATAAAAACAAAAACAACTAAATAGTGCAAATACTGTTAAATGGCTTTACATGCAAACAGCAACCATTCTTAATAAAACTGTAGCTATTTGTAACATTTAGAAAAAATACACAGTCATTAACTAGAAAAAAGAGAGAGAAACAGGGTAAATTTCACGAATGGTATACGAACTTTGGACTTAATTTCAATTCAGTATACGAACTTTAAATCCTCTCACAAAAATACACGAGCATGCAACGCTCTTTCAGGGGTGGTCTAATAGCCGGTTCCAGCATGCAATCCTCTCACAAAAATACACGAGCATGCAACGCTCTTTCAGGGGTGGTCTAATAGCCGGTTCCAGCTGACCATCAGGTCACTTGGCACCAAATTGAAAATTTTAAACTTGATATTTCTTATTTTGGCCCCATTTCTTTTTTCTTCTCTATCTTTCAGCCCCCCCCCCCACCCAAGCTCCGCTGTTTTTCTGTGTCATCATCTTCATCACCACCAAACCTCCATCAGCTTCCACAATCATTATTATCCATAACAACATAATTAATTAAGTAATTATTTCTACTTCGCCCTCTTTTTCTACTTCAATCATAATGTCATATCAATGGATCGATGTACTTCTTTATTAAATTCATCAGCTAAGTTCATGTGAATGAAACGGAGATGAGAGAGAAAAACATAACATAATTATTTGTCACCATCAATTCCAGTTTAATTTAAATTTTGTTATCTGCTGCAGATCTCTGCTCCAATTGTAAAAGAAGAAGAATTGATTTTATTGGTGGGATCCGGAAGAAGGAGGAGGAGGAGGAGGATGATGAGAGGAGTGTGAGGGGCTAAAAGAAATGAGGTCAAAATAAGAAATGAAATCACAGTAAAAATTCATATACAATTCGTGAAATTTACCCGAGAGAAACAACTTGCACCGAAAAGCTTGTGCAGCCATCGGTCGAAGTTTTAAAGGAAAGAGTGGGCTTTTGACATAGTGGCTCCAACTTCATTATTATCTGATATGCAATATTGTGTAAGCCTCACTTAAGCCTCAATGCATTAGCAATGATGCATACACATCAGCCGCATGGTAAACATTTTCTGTTTTGAGCATACCCTCAAGGCTCGTTTGTTGTAAAAATTGTTGAGGGATTTCAAGAGGGATAAATGAAATGTGTAATTTCGAACATCATTGTGGTGGATTAAATTGGACTAAAGTCCTTATTGAGTCTGATTTGCTGAGAGTATGCTGGTGATGTGTATATTGAATGAGTAATGAAATAAATTTACTATTCAACCAAGAGAAAGAAATAACTGAGTATTTGGTTTTTTAAAAAAGATTGCACTAAAATAATAATTTAGTATTTAGTATACTAGGAAAAGGAACATAAGGTAGGCGATATGGGTAGAGAAACTGTCAGAAAAAATAAAGAGAATGATGAGACACAATAACACAAAAATCAACATGAATGAATATGTTAGAAGTACACTTATGGACAAAACATCTGTGGAAGTTAGATGCTCACATTTGTGCATATGTGTGTTTAATCTAATACAAAGCATCCATTACCTGTGCATCAGTGAATACTCTAAAAGCATAGATTTCTGTGTCTGGGGCAAAACCAAGACACTCTGAATCTTGTCCAGCAATAACCCCTGCTACAAATGTCCCATGTCCTAGATTGTCATTAAGTGTATCTTCATTGGTCCAATTTGTACGCTCCTGTGTAATCAATCCAGTGACTAAACCCACAAGAATATTCTAGGAGAAGTTAAACATGTCCACAAGTTTGAACATAAACTACATTAAGTTTAAGTGAAGCATAGCTGCAATATCATTTCTCCTGAAAATATAAGCTACCTTGATATTACGAAAATGAGGATGATCTGATCGAATGCCTGTGTCAAAAATAGCCATTTTAACTTTAGCGCCGGTGTATCCTTTTGACCAAAGTGCTTCTGCACTAAACAGGGAGGTAACTTGAGACTTCTGAAAAAGGAACAATGTTTATTTAGGTAAATCACGGCTTTCAAGGTAACAAAATTTAGTAAGAATACATCACCAACTTGCCTGCATCAATAGCTCCCTCTTCCAGCTGATTTCCATATTGCTTGTGTTAGATATTACATTTCTCTTTCCTTCATTTTGCTCTCCTTCGGCAAAAGACATCGAAGTGAAAATTTTTCCTGGTCTCTTCTTTCCGTCAAAAAAACCCCCAATTCTGTCATTCTTTTTTGCAAGAACTCCTCTTTGATAACTCAAATCTAATGACACGTCTTTCACAAACTTTAATTTTGTGAACTTATCAATCAAAAGTTCTATCATTGATTCCTCAATTGCCACCACTGCAAAATCTGTAGGAAACCGAGACGCAGGGTTCTTCCTTTCTATCCATTCCCAACCATTCAATTTCACGTTACCTTGCAGATATGTCTGATGATATTCAGATTTCAAGTATTTAGTGAATCGAACAATATAATTATTCCGTGATGAAGATTCCCGCTTTTGAACCTCAAGGTGGTTGTGGCGTACATCCTTGGGTTTTAATGTAGAACGAAACAAGGGTTGATCCCGAGCGCTTTCAGGGTAGTGAACAAATAGAAGGGGATGGAAGAGACGGAGCACAAATGAGAAGATAAGGAGTACAAGGGGTAGTGTGAAGAAGGGTAATCTATGAGTACATCGCATCGTGAAAAGAGGCAAATCCCTCTCATCAATGGAGAGATGATGATACTTGTAAATAATCAGAAACTTACTTTCACATTCTAATTTTTCATCGCTATCAGACACTCTGTGTCAGCCAACATTGTCAAATATAACAATCTGCACAGTTATTAAGCACTTACTACTGCACCAATGCAGTGGAAACTCCACACCATTTGATGAGCCTATCCTGCTGCAAGATGCATATCCTACCTTCTCCAAGGCTGTAAAAAACATGTGTTGAATTATTTGAGAATGGGTTGACATAGGGAGTTTTTTTTATTTGTGGGGTTATAGGAGAAAACTATAGCTTTCTTTGAAATAAAAGCATATCCGAACTTGGTCCCATTGAGTTTTCAAATGGCACAAAACAAATTGAAGAGTAATTCAAAACAGGAACATTGGTTTACCAAAAACATACTCCTTGTTTTATCCCATAATTATGAATCCTCTTAAATGGGAAGATTCTTGTTTCCCTTTTTGTCATTCATTATCTTTTGAGAATGATGAAAGATCCCACCCATAAAGTAAACAAAATTAATGAAGAAAGCCTAAATGCTTCTAAAACACCACTCAGAGTATCCATTACAAATCATTAAGCATATACTAAAGGGAGAAATACCTAATTAGCACTAAAACATACTCCATATACCAGAATATGATCTTCACTGTTTCTATACCAAAATAGGACTTATAATGCCAAATTGTGGGTGTTTTACAATGTCAACACTCCTATTTAAAGGATAAAACATACCTTATTTTGGTATAAGTTCCATGTTTTAGTCTTATTTAGTTTAGGTCGATTTCCTTGTACGTAATGCATAAATACACACAACCACAACACACATTCAACACTAACTCCTCTAGTTACCTATTAAATTATTGCACCGGATCTTACACTCCCAAAAGTTGCTAAGAAAAATTCATGATACTCATCACAAGCCTGATAATTGGCCCACCAAAACACATCATAGGTGCCAGATTTAGCGCAAGTATCCCTACACAAGTAACACGTTGCAATCTTCTAAACCCAAAAATGCGAGTCTTACTACAGACTTGACACACAACTGGAATCTTGTAACCAATAAGATAGACAAAATCAACAAAACAAATGGAGAATCTTTACGAAATACCGGAAGAAATAGCTTACCAGTAATGATTATTGAACAATGTCTAAATTGATAATCGGCACTCCGTTATGAGACGAAACAGATCCGTCTCCATTCGCGATAATCCTCCAGCCAACTGGCTCCGATTTCAATGAAATAGAATTGCACGGGCTCAAAAAGTCAAAATCGAGATGATCAAAAGCCAAAAACTGTTTCAAACTCCGTAGTAAATAAAGGGATCATAGAACTCGTCCGAGAGAAATGAGGTTCAGACTTATGCTATCCAATATTAGAGCGAGTCTATTTAAAATTAATTTACTACATTTTTAAAAGTTTATTTAGAATATTTTTAATTAGATCTAATTAAACCACTAAAATATAAACAAAACATAGCAAAAAACAAAATAAGACCTTAGCTTCATTTTTTTAGCTCAAAATAGAATACATATATATTGTCAATATACTACGTATAATACTAAAAAAATACTCCGTAGTAGGTATGAAATGTAAATACTCACTCCGTCGCAGTGTATATGTCTAGTTTGGTTTTTTTATTCAAACCACATAAAATTTAATCTGCAATTACTCTCAAACCATAATATATTTTATTATAAAAATTGATTTAATTAAATTTATCTTATTAAAAAATTTTAAAATTGTATTTCATTATATTAATATGTAATACAAATTGAGATTAATTAAAATTAAAATTTGTCTGATTAGACTAAAAAAAGTCAAAGTTAGCAAATACATTGGAACGGATATAATATATAACCCCGTATCACATTATACACAAAAGTATAGCCCTATTGTGGGATTAAATATATCACTCCTAAATTAAAAATAAGGGCTATGCTATACTCTAATTTTGGATGGGTGATTTCTTGTGACTTAACTTCTATATATGTAGTACTCCCTTCATCCCATTTTAAATCATCTATTTTGACTTTGGAGAAAAGAAAAAATAGAGTTGACTTTTCGAAATTGTTATTATTTTTTAGGAGAGGTGACGATGTATGAGAAGATAAGGTGGAGAAGAGTGATTTATTTTAGGGGTAGTTTCGATATTTTACTTTTAAAATTTTACGATAACAAGAAACAGACAACTTATTTTGGGACGGAAAAAAAAAAGAAAACATGCAATTTAAAATGGGACAGAAGGAGTAATTTATTCCAGTTTCTTCTAATTATTCCAAATTATTTTTAACTTTTTTCAATTTCAATTAAAATTAACTACTTAAAAAGTTTTCTATATGTATTTTAAATACGAATAATTTTATTATTACAAAAATAATAATAGTAATAATAATAATAATTCTTATTGTTGTTATTATCATCATCGTCATTAATGTGCATAGGATAAAAAATAATGTCAGAATTTATATAGAAAAAAGTAGATTATGGTTACAATTATAGAGATCATAAAACATCAAAATCTTAAATTAATGAACTTCTCATAATATATTTCTTATAATTTATGAATATTTTATAATTATGTTCTTTCAAAAAATTAACCAAAATAAAACTAGAATAGAGCTCATATCCCTGAATTAAGAGTAACATATTGTTATTCATAAAAAAGACTACTGAATTGTAACAATGTGATATTGTATATTGGTAATTTATAATATCTTTTGGTATTATATATTACTCCGTAGTATTATTGGTTTTATAGATCCTATCTTGGTTAAAACAATAAATGTCCAATTTTGGTTCGTCTGAATTTTTACTTCCATTTTAGTTTTCTTTTTTTTTCAAACGACCTTAATTTGTATTGAATTTTAGTTTCTTAATTACTTCGTTAAATGTTTACATATGAAATTTTTTAATAAAATGACCTATTTAAGATTACACTTGAGAAAAAATCAAATTAAAAATACAATATGTTACGAAAAAAGACCAAACTAAGAATAAAATATGTAGAAAGTACCAAAATAGAAGCTCCGTGTTTCCATCATCAAAATAAAGGTTAATTAAAATGCCAATAATGTCAATATATAATTCAAAAAATACGGTGAGATGTCACTATAGAATGTCATAATGTCAGAGTAGAACCTCTCACTTTTGGTAATAAAAATATGAAACTCTAATTTTGAGGTAAATGTTATGTTTTACTCATGTTTTGTGATTTTTTAGAGGGAAATAAATTAAAAAGTATAGAGTATAAACTATTCTAATAAAAATATGAAATTTCAAAATTATAAAATTTATTTCATCTATTTTTTATTTTTTCCAACATTTAAAAAATTTTCTAATTTTTTATAACATCATACCACAATCTTATAATACAAATCACACAATAGAACAAAGGCTGGGGGTGTATTCATTGCGGATTTTATAGGATTTTTTTAGACTTTTAAAATCTAAAAGTATTCAATCTTGATTTTAAAAAGTCTTTCAAAATCTTGAGGTATTCAATTACGATTTTCAAAAGTCTTTTAAAATCTTGAGATATTCAATTACGATTTTCAAATGTCTTAAACAATCTTTAAGTATTCAAAATTCATGGATTTCTATATTCCATGGATTTTAATGGATTCTTTCTCAAAAATATAAAGAGATTTGACTCTTCAGAATCTCTTCTAACCATATCAGATTTCTAAAAGTATTCTTCGTCAGTAGGGTTTTGCAAGACCGTGTCATTTTCTTTGTTCATCCTAATTGCTTTGTCAATATCGTCGTCCAAAACTTCTCATCACTAGGGACGAGCAAGTGCACCTAAAACGTCTGGACTGATTTGAGAAGCTACGGCAGGGGACAGATCAACTTGCAGGAGACGAACTTCGCCGGCGATGGATAGAAAGGATTTCGCCGGCGACTGAACTGCTACTAATGACGGCCGGGAGACGTTGACTTGTTGAGGATGGCTAGATAATTGGTTGACAGCTGATTATTTGGATCCGACTGGCCTTTGTTTTGATATTCATATATTTTGAAGGGAGACACGAACACAGAGCTCACCTTCGGAGTCATAGATCTAAACCAGAGATGGAGTTTGGACGAAAATGGAGTACTCCATAATTGCTATTGGGTAATAAGAGAAAAATGGATGGTAGGTAGTGGATATTGGATAAGGGATTCAGATATACTCGTATTTAGTAGAATAAATATAAGAAGTGTTTTTTTTTCAATTCTTTCAAGTCAATGAAAATTCACATAAATCAATAGAAAAATCAATCAAACTCTACATAGAGTCTATAGATTTTCTAAGTCCACAGACTTTTTAAATTCAAAAACAATCCAATGAAATCCCAATTGAATACACCCTCTAAAATACAACTACAAATGTTGGTAGTCTATTTTAACTTGCAAATTAAGATTTCAAATGTGCAAATTGAGGTCTAAAATTATTTCTCATTGAAACGGGCGTTGATTGCTTTCTCCTTATGACTTACTTGCTCTGTCTCTAAATATTTGCTACATTTGTATTCTTAAGATAAAATATCAAGTTTTTTCAATTCATATTATTTGCATATTGGTATAGAAATAAAAAATAAAATTTACATATAAAAAAACTACATGAAAAATTCTTCGAAATAAGAGGTGTCAAGAATATTTTATTTTATCAAATAACCAATTAAAACGTAGAAAAGTTCCCGCAACTGCTAAAAAAACAAATGTTGCACATATTTTGTGACAGAGGGAGTAACATTTAGTTTTTTAAAGATGTACCAGTTACCACGCAAAAAATATTTCGTGTCCTCTTAGGTTGGGTGTAGTGCCCTATGCCATTTGCTCCCGTGACCCTCCGTGGTAGTGTCTCGGTTGCAGAGGACTCTCCGAAACAGACCCTTTGTTTCATCATCACGGTGCGTGATGTCGTGATCCTCTCTGTGGTCATGACCATGTTCAGTCCTCTGTTTCCAACTTTTTTCGGTTTTAATGGTCATTTTTGGGAAAATAAAAAAAACTTAAATGTACTCCATATTAAATTTAAGTTTCAAACCCTTCTACCTCTTACTTCAATTTAAACAATCGAATCTCAAACCTTTTCAAACACATTGAAAATATACCAAAATATGAGATTAATATTTTTATTTTCGAAATATGAGTTAAAATTCATTTATAGTGTCAATCATGACCATATACATTACCAAAAGAGTAACGTAAAGTACCACATTATCACAGTACAAAGTACTATTTTGGGGTAAAAATATGGAATTCTTTATTTTAATTTTTTTTTCTTAAAAAGTTACTCCCCCCGTCTCAATTTAATTGTCTGCTTCGGTTTACGATGTTTGACTGAAGTTATTTTTAGATCATTTTATAAAAAAAACAGGATAGAATTAAAAAAATAAAAATCAAATATTTGAAAACTAAATAAAAGATCTACGAAACTAGTGATGATGTTACTATATTATCTTATTAAATTAGTAATGAAAATATGAAAAAAGTAAATATAAATATTTAAAATTTAATTTGGGAGAGAGGTACGTGGGGACTGGGGAGCCTATGCGGGGTTGAAGGGTCAACGCTGGAAGTTTTTGAGGTTAGGGGGAAGTATGATTCTCTGGAGACAGTAGATGTCATTGCGCATTTCTTTCCCCTTTTCGACTTGGTGTCAATTCCGTTTGTTCAACCTAGTTTCATTTGCACTAAGCCGTTGCAGCCACGATCTGTGTGTTCCTGGGATCTCGACCTCCGCAATGTCCTATCGTCCCAACAACCAAGGTGGCCGTCGCGGCGGGGGTGGCCGCGGCCGCGGTGGAGGGAGAGGTGCCGGAGGCTCTCGCGGTGGGGGGCGAGGTGGGGAGCAGCGCTGGTGGGATCCTGTCTGGAGAGCCGAGCGTCTTCGTCAGAAAGCTGCGGAGGTACGTATGTACCGCATTCCTGCTTATAAGTAGGGTTCACATGGATTTATGTGAGACAGTTTAACTGCTAATTATCCATAGACTTATCAATGCTTCATCCTCTGCAAAGCTTGGTTACTGATAGAGGCTGAGAAGATCAAGGAAAAGATACCTAAATAAATAGTGACTCTATTGATTGATTCTGGGAATTACATAATTCAACTCCACCCTTATAGTATAATTCTTCATCATCTTCATTATTTCCGAGACTACAAATATGGACTTCAAACTCAGAGAGAATGAGAGTAATGGAATTTGAGACACCTTATGATGAGTTTGGTTTGGGGTGAACCAAGGTTGTTCCTAGGTTCACCTCGTTTGGGATTCAATTTTATGACAACAACCTAGTTTCGTATGTATACACGGGTTCACTTCAAATAACCTGATAACCTCCCATAAGGCCATAACATAATTTTGAAGAACTTTCCAAACCATGTTTAAAGGGTTATTTGTATATAATAATCCGCCCTTTGGCTTCTACCCTCACTTACCTATCCTCTACCCACATTGACTAGTTCTCCCGCCTTGGAGAAACCCTCTCCGCCATGCTTTAAAAAGGCGTTTTCGAGGCTCGTTGTGGGGTGCTCCAAATGGGCATTAAGGCTTAATACTTGTTTGCATAGGAAGAGGCTTATGCATTAAAAAAAGGCTGACACCTTGATACGAAGCTCATGTCTTTTAGTGAGGTGTTTTCGTCAACGTGAGAGTGAGACTACAAGTAATAAAGCCCATATACTAAAAGTTAACCCCTAATATATAAGAAACAACATATGAGTCTACTCTTCTCTCTATTAAGCCACTCCTTGGTTCCAAGACTTGGCGATCAACAACAATCAATCAATTCTTCTCGATATTGTCAATTCTCTGATGCTCCATGCACCCTCCTTTCTTGTTCTTCTCCCCCCCACCTCTTCTCCTCGTTTCCTTCTTCTCCTTCTTCTCCTTCTCCTCTTGGTTTCTTTTTTTTCCTGTTTGAACGCCAAACCAATCCTTAACCCTCCCGACCAATTGTTCTCCTCTTGCTCTTCTTTGTTCTTCTTTGCTATATTTTGAATTTGAGATTAGTTTTAAATGTTTTTTATGTAGATAAATTGCTATTTACACGATGAGAAGTTCAATGAAGAATGGTCTAGATGCTATTCCTAGTAGTAGTGTACTAGTGAACCGTCTATGTGTTTCTAGGGAAGTTACTAGAAAGAGAAAATTCTTAGATTGATAACATGGTGTTTATTTGTTTAACTACAAATCGTAAGAGAAAGGAACACCTATTTCCTGATAACAAACCACCTCAATACACAACTTGGCCTTTTTTGACCTTTCTCTCCGCCCGTCAATTTATGACCCCACCACTGATTCTATATTTGGATTGATGTTTACCTAGGTTAAGATAAACTTAGAAAAATAATGGTTATGAGAAAATTAGTTAACCTTAGTATATAAAGATATTGTTTGAATAGTATTAGCTCTACATTTGTGAATTTTTCTTTAACATTGTCTTTTGGTTTAGATGAATTAAAATAAAAAAATATTATAGGGTATTCACCTCATTTTTTCTTGATTTTGGAGGTAGCAAAAACGGAGTGAATCAAATTGACTGATTCAACCCACATAACCTAGGTTGATAATCATAAATGAGTCCACCCACTGACTCAAATTATTTGCCTACATTCACCTCGGTTCACCTCAAACCAAACAATATTTTTGTATCTTCACCTAGGTTCATCAATATTTTTTCGGAACCTAGGTTCACGAAGTTTACTTAAGTTCACCCAGGACCAAAAGGAGCCTTGAGAGTTGGGTAGCTATAGACTTTTGGCAAAGTTACCTTTCTGGTGAATAACTTCGGGTGAATTAGGCTTTTTTCTTTGTTCTTCTTCATGTATGTTTCTCCATTTATCTCAATTTAATAAATCATCAGTTTGTTTCTTGATTGTATGTATATCCCGTTGACTATTTTCTCTCAATCTTTTACATTTGCGGTTTTCTTTCTCTGTCATTATCACTTCTTTGATCTGCTCAGATGGAGGTAATGAACGAGAACGAATGGCGGGAAAAAATTGAGCAATTCAAGGGAGGAGGAGATCAGGAGATGGTAATTAAGAGACACTTTAGTAGGGAAGACCAGGATAGGTTGCATGATATGTCATATCATTTTGGGCTTCACTTGTAAGTGGATTTTAAAAGCATATAATTGCAATTTTTGCAATCAATGTTTTCTAAATTTTTGGTTTGTGATGTAATTAATTTAGCATAAGGGCACAAGCATATGAAATTCTTTTTTTAAATATCATAATCCTCCTTAACACATTTTTTTTCATTATTTATCTCCTGTGCATTATAGTTGTTAGGTTATTGTAGTCTCATCACTAACTAGTAATGCATCTTTACTGTCGATTTGTAATCATTAGTTTGAGGTATTGTGAATGTCATGCTAATTATTCCTTGTCTTTTTTATTTGTGGGAAGAAAGCCATGCGTATAACAAGGGAAAGGTGCTTGTTGTGAGCAAAGTTCCATTACCAAATTACCGGGCTGACCTCGATGATCGTCACGGATCATCACAGGAGGTGGTTTGACACATTCATCATTTCCTTTATGCTCTGCAATTTTATCCTTGTATGTTGGGGATGGGTTTGTCGGGTAACATTTGCTGTCAATATCATTCATTTGTGTTACACTTCATCCATGCTTCTTGCAGATAAAAATGTCTATGGAGATTGAAAAAAGAGTTGGAAATTTATTGAACCATTCACAAGCATCTGTGTCTAAGGGGAGTTCCCATGCTAAAGACTCAAATGCTACCAATTTGTCGTTTAGTGATGTAGATACTGCAAGAGCCATCCCTATGTTGGAGACTGATGCTTCCAAGGAGAGTCTCAATGTTGAACTTAAGAAGAAGCAGGAAAAGCAAAGGGTAAAGTGCTCCGGCTTATCATGGGCCATTAATATTTCTGTTTCGACCATACCAGCTGACAATGTATTATTTATATTTCTTCCAGGAAACTGAAGATGTTAAGGCAATGATGCTATTTCGAGAAAAACTCCCAGCATTTAAAGTAAAATCTGAGTTTTTGAAAGCCGTTGCCGAAAACCAGGTAAAACATTTGAGCAAACCTTTTTTATATATAGCCTGGTAGGGGGCTTTGTTAGGAATCAGAGATCAGAGGCGGTCAAGCGGAAGGGAACAAACACACACACACACACACACACACACAAATAGCAGAAAATAAGAACACGAGATTTAACGTGGTTCGGTCAGTAACCTACTCCACGGGTTGCAACTAGGGTTTATCTTTTATTAGGTGCTCACAGATTATAGTTACATGATTGGGTATTTATAAGATATAAATTAGGGTTAACAACTTGCTAAACAAGAAACAACTAATGGGCCCTTTAATTAATAACTAAAACCGGCCCCCCATATTTCTTCTCTTTAACCGACCGGGCTTTTAAAGCCCAAAGCTCTAAAGCCTTCACCGAATAACCCAACAATCTCCCACTTGAAGGATTTCGCATAGACACAAATGCCATCCAAGTAAACCCATCATGAGTAACTCAGTAATCTTCACTGTCAAATCCTCCAAGCCTCCAGCTCCCAAGAACAAGCTAAGACTCCAGTTATATCCCCTAGTTGCAACCACCCCCTTCATTAATAACCTGAAAGGACAGTTGAAGCTCCACCGAGCTCCAACCCAGTCGTGACTGTAACCGCCACAACCTCTGTCTCAACCGGCTTGCACAATCCACCGGATCCAGAGATACACCGAGGACCATTACCACTCTCCAAATCCAGCAAACTATT